GCTGTTAATGTCCAAGGAGAGGATCAGAAAAAACTCGATGTCATCTCCAATGAGGTAATGTCTACCCCTGTAAATACAGTAGTTTAACATGGTATCAGAGCTGGTGCAGTTGTTGAGCCGACTCTATCCATTTATGAAGCACGTAGACAAGCAGAGCTTGAAATTTCTGGGGATTGTTTAATACTAGATTAAATAAATAAATGTGCGTTATTCTAACAGATTAAGCTTTTAAACAGACTGGTTTAGTAGTATGTTATAAGCACGATGTAAATATCAGGTGTTCTCTAATTGCTTGAGGTCAAGTGGAAGGACAGGAATTATTGCATCTGAGGAAGAAGATGTACCAGTGGCTGTGGAAGAGAGTTACTCTGGCAACTACATTGTTGTTTTCGACCCTCTTGATGGATCATCCAACATTGATGCTGCTGTGTCCACTGGCTCGATTTTTGGAATTTACACTCCCAATGATGAGTGCCTAGCAGATATTGGAGATGATGCCACGGTATACTGCATTCTATGTTTATTTAACTAATGAAAATTTGTAGCATAAGTCAAGACTGAAATAAAATCTACCGAAAATAAGAATTTTGTACAATCTGATCTGTTGCAGCTTGACAATGTGGTACAGAGGTGTGTAGTGAATGTGTGTCAACCTGGAAATAATCTTCTCGCAGCAGGCTATTGCATGTACTCGAGCTCTGTGATTTTTGTGATCACCTTAGGAAAAGGTGTATATGTGTTCACATTGGACCCCATGTTTGGGGAATTTGTGCTTACTCAAGAAAACATTCAGATACCGAAGGCCGGAAAGATTTATGCTTTTAATGAAGGGAACTACCAGTTGTGGGATGATAAATTGAAGAAGTACATTGATGATCTTAAGGATCCTGGTCCAAGTGGCAAACCTTATTCTGCTCGATATATTGGTAGTTTGGTTGGTGATTTTCATAGGACTTTGTTATATGGTGGGATTTACGGGTATCCCAGAGACAAGAAGAGCGAAAATGGGAAGCTTAGACTCCTGTATGAATGTGCACCAATGAGCTTCATTGTTGAACAAGCTGGTGGCAAAGGATCAGATGGGCAAAACAGAGTCCTTGACATTCAACCAACCGAGGTGTGTCAAATGATACAAGGAAATTTGATTTCCGTTGCAAATTGTTTACATTATAGTCCTCAAGTTTCATCTTCCAGTTTTGATCTTTTGTTGTATTTTCGTGCAGATACATCAGCGAGTGCCCTTGTACATTGGAAGTACTGAAGAGGTGGAGAAATTGGAGAAATATTTGGCTTAATTACAATGTAAAAGGTTTAATATTGCTGATATAGTTTTCCCCCGTCTTTCAAGAAGAAAAAACAGCGGGAATTCTTTCTTATATTCCTACTAAAGAGTTGATTCTCATGACTGCAATGTTCTTTATTATTTATTTCTGAACAGGCAACTTAACATGATTGGACACTACAAGGAAATGGTCATGATCCAGCTAATCTTTTGTAAAATTGAGATTGAACTGACAAATTGTTTGACTTCATCATTGTCTAGCGTTTTCAGGTAAGTCGTCCGCCTATCATTAAACTTTACAGTTATTGTAACTCAGTTTTGAAGTTGTGAATGTTCCAAAATTCGACTAATATAAGTCAATCTTCCGGTTAACTACTCTCATAGGCCTAAAATTGCAAGTATATGACATCCTTATCTTAAAACCATGGATCATCATGGACCAAATGCAATAGCAATAATTTCATCACTAAAAGAGTGATTATAGTAAACTTACAATAGCCATAATAACATTGTAGTTTTAATGTTTTGATTTTAGCTACTGATATGCAACCAATATTCAACAAGGATGGTTGCCACCAGAACTGAACAAAGTTAAATGACTTGCCATCCTAACAAATTACTATGACTTCACATAGTGCTGACGCATAAGGACAACCTAAAACTGAATATCAGAGTAAATATTGTTGGGAGTCCTAAACTGGTACCATATCAATATAAAAAGTCAGTAAATGGAAGTCTTCCAGGACCATCTCTCCATGTACGAGAGGGCGATACGCTAGTCGTCCATGTTTTTAACCTCTCCCCGTACAATCTCACTATTCATTGGTAAGATTCTCTCTCTCCCCCATTTTATAAAGGGTTGAACCCCAACCTTAAGGGTCTCCCACCATCCCTGCCCTGGAATATCGTGAGGGAGGTAAATCGCAAGTTATGCCTCCAAGGGTACAGGGTGGAAGGCTGCTTGTACACTTATACTTACCCAAGAGCCAAATCCATATTTCAGGATTCGAACCCTTGACACGACAGTTTCAAGTAAAGTTGGATTTCTCCACCCTCCCCTTTTACCACTTAGAGATGTACCCTGGGGGCATAAGTATTAGCAATATTTTCTCTCTCCCCCATTTTAATGATCATAAGCAGTTGATCATATGAAAAGTGCTTTTCATGGTAAATACAAATATCTGGCCATTAAATGCAAATATTTTTCAAGTTGGTCGCTCAATTCAAATCTATTAATTTCATTCAAACAAAAGGTAACGTGATAATCTAGTTATTTGTCCAATATCTGACAACTAGTTGTCACATGTGCTTTTCTACTCGTCAACTAATAGATATGAACGAAATAATCGAATTGCAACTAATGTTCCAAATTAGTAGCAAATTTTGCATGCAGCTAACTTGTGCATGTTTAGATTAATAATCAGGTCTCATTATCTGTCTTCAATACAGTTGTCATTTTTAAAATTTAAAAAAAAAAAAAACAAAGAAAAAAGCATATGTATGTCTTCTTCTTGATAGATAAAATATTCTTGAAGGTCAAGGATATTCGAAATTCAACCACTAGACGAATAAATCAAATCAAAACAAGGGAATCGTCTATTTCCAAACTTTTGAAGGCTATTTTAATTATCTATCATTATCATTTGCAGAGGATAAATTAGAATATATTTTGTGTAACAGGCATGGAGTTTTCCAGTTACTCAGCGGGTGGGCTGATGGACCCGAATTCGCAACCCAGTGTCCGATCCGGCCCGGACACAGTTACACCTATAGGTTTAACATTACTAGACAGGAGGGGACTCTCTGGTGGCATGCACATGTTCAGTGGCTCCGGGCGACAGTTTATGGAGCCTTAATTATCCGACCCAGGGCTGGTCGGTCATATCCGTTTCCAAAGCCTCACAAAGAAGTCCCAATTCTTCTTGGTAATTAACTAAATAAATAAATTTATGTTTATCTTTTAATATTTTATACGAATTTCATTTTATTCGTGTGATTGCAGGAGAATGGTGGAATGCTAATGTAATTGATGTAGAAAATGAAGCTCTAGCCACTGGAAACGCACCTAATGTATCGGACGCGTACACAATCAATGGTCGCACCGGGGATCTTTACCCATGCTCTTCAAATAGTAAGTTAACATGCACATGATTTCTACTAATTTTTAGCACTTTTACGTGAAGATTTTGTTAAGTCATAGAAAATACTATCATTTGTAGCAGGGACATATCGGCTAAATGTGGAACGAGGAAAAACATATCTCTTGCGTATCATCAATGCCGCTCTCAATAATCAACTATTTTTCAAAATAGCCGATCACAAAATGACAGTAGTTGCAGTCGATGCTGCATACACAAATCCCTATGTCACCGACGTAGTGGTAACGGGGCCCGGACAAACAACCGATGTTCTCTTGGAGACCGATCAGCCACCAGCACTGTACTACATGGCTGCAAATCCCTATGCTAGTGCAGCAGGAGTTCCATTTGATAACACTACAACAACTGGGATTATAGTGTACAATGGTGCTACTCAATCCACCCCAAAAATGCCTATCCTTCCAGCATTTAATGACACACCCACAGCCCACAAATTTTTTAGCAATCTAACTGGGCTTGTTACTGGGCCTTTCTGGGCCCCCGTACCACAAGAAGTGGACGAACGCATGTTCATAACTGTTGGGCTGGGCTTGGTTGCATGTGGAAGCCCAGGGAACACATCCTGCCCAGGCCCACTTGGGCAAAGATTTGCTGCGAGCATGAATAATGTATCTTTCCAGTTTCCTAATAAATTGTCAATGCTGGAGGCATTTTTCAACAACGTCGGTGGAGTTTATACCACCGATTTCCCTAGTACTCCACCAGTGAGATTTGATTACACAAACCCTAATAACAGCCTCAATCGGGCAATCATAATGACTACGAAGTCAACAAAAGTAAAGAAAGTTAAGTACAATTCAACAGTAGAGATTGTGATGCAGAATACAGCTCTAATTGGGATCGAAAATCATCCTATACACTTGCATGGATTCAACTTCTATGTTTTGGCTCAAGGATTTGGCAACTTCAATAGGACTATGGACAGCAAAAAGTTCAACTTTGTTAACCCACAAGAGCGTAATACCATTGGAGTACCAGTTGGAGGATGGGCTGTGGTTAGATTTCGAGCAAATAATCCAGGTAAGTTAGACCGTCGTCAATCTCAAACTTAAGAATCCGTCCACCTTTGAGAAAAAAGATGAACTTTTCTAATTTCATCTAGCATGTTTTATATAACTTTACCTATATGTGAAGTTTGCATATATTAATATATTCTACATTTGAAAATGTGGTTATTTTAGGTGTATGGTTGATGCATTGTCACTTGGACGTACACTTGCCTTGGGGTCTTGCTACTGCTATCGTTGTCGAGAATGGACCGACCTCGTCAACAAGACTGCCGCCACCTCCTCCAGATCTTCCTAAATGTTAATATTCTTCAGAAATATTATTTATTATTGTACTGTTATTGTTTATTTGATTGTTTTTATTTATTTGTAACCTTGATTTCAATTTTACATTTTTGTAAGTTTGATATGGTATCGTGAGAAGTAATAGTATACAAATGCCAACATTTATTTGATTAAATCGATGTTAATTTTCTAAATCTATTCAAACAAAACTAAAAATTAATTAAAATCCGTGAATAAATAAAATTTACATGATTTATAAACTCAATATTTAAATAATTAAAAATTTTCAATTTAAATATTGGTTTTCCGCGAACCCAATCCAAAACAATGCAAGTAGCCGTTCTTCGATAATTTCATTTATAATACTTGTAAAAATTATGAGAATTAAATTAATTAATTAGAAAGGCGAAGAAGCTGGTGCATCGGCGACAGAACCAGTAGGTTCTTCGGCCACCAGACCAGGGGCGGCACCACCGCTGCTCAAAAGCTCCAACATGGCACGGTGAGGCTCGGTCTTTTGTTTCTCGCACAGACGAGGTAGATATACTCCTTCTCCGGCGGCTAGGTTGAAATAAAGGTCAACAATATTAGGGCAATTTTGATAACATGCCGGCGAGCACAGGCTTTTGGTGAATTGCGGTACAAGTAATGCATCTGAAGATATTCCGACGAAGCTCCGATCAGCGCCACAAGCTTTTACACATTGATCGGTCTCTATATATCCAGCCATTCTCTCAACAACCACCTCCGACGTCTTGCATGTATATTCCAGCTTTCCGACGTCGTCTTTGTAATTCTCCAGCACACATCTTTTACCCGATGATGCGATTGCAAATGAACAAAAATTCGTCGGCAAATTGTCGCAAATCACCTCAGCTGATACAGAGAAAGATACATATTAAAAATTACACATTTATTTACATAAATAGAGAGAGAGAGAGAGAGAGATTGGGATGTACCGAATGCTCCTTGGAGGAAGAGGGAGAGCGCAAAGAAGAGGATGAATGGCGATTTGATTGAAGAAACAGCCATGGCTTTAATTTGATGCATTGTTTTCTGATTTGGGGAAGATCGTGAAGAATAAATGGGTTTGCGAGAAAAATTCAATGGATGAGTTGTGTATATATGAAGTGGTGGAGGAGAAAGTTTATTGAGTTAAATTGGAAATGGTGCGAACGAAATTCCATAAAAAGGTATAAGTTCCGACAAAGGCGGTTATCTAAGGAGACATCGTTGGCCGGATTTTCACTGGTTTCTGTGTGGTTTCTTGTTAATGGACGTGATTGCCTGCATTTGAAGGTTCCAACCGTTTATTACACACACATTTAGGAAAATCCATCGAAATTGTATTAATACAAAAACGCTTAAGACAAAATTTTAAGGTTAGACAAAACTCCCAAATTGAATCGAATCAAATTGGAGCCGAACTAAATTGAATAGAACTGAGCAGTTATTCTAAAATTAAATACGAGAACAGGCAATCAGAATCTACAACCGATGAATTTGATTCGTTTCTCGATTCTAGATCAAGAACCGAATAAGAATCGAATCTCCTTAATTTTTTTTTAATTTCTTTTATTCAACAAGCCAAATTATTTTAATTTTTTTTCCTGTTTTATTTGCCAACTAATAAATTGAGCTTAAAAATATCATTATCCTGTTTCATTTATCAACTAACTAATTGAGCCTAAATTATTATTTTCCTATTTTCAGCCCAAACTCAACTTTGTAATTCAAATTTCAAATAATCAAAATTGAGTGAACTAAGGTTTTTTTTTTTTTTTCAACACTTTAATCAAGTAAGTTGTATAAATTGCCGAATAGATATTATTAGAAACTTATTATTTGTATATTTTTAAATTAAACTATGTTTAAGTATTAAGATAGTGTTGTTATAAAAGCTAAGATTGATTATGACATTAATTGGATTAATCAAGTATTGTTGTAAATGTTAAAAGTTTTAATTATGGTATGGAATCTAACCGAACAAAAAGATTTTATAATTAAATTTAGACCTGGCGATTCCACTTACGAAATATCTAAAAACTTGGATTCGGTTCCGAATTGAATTGGACTATATCCAGTCCTAAGAGAAATAATAATGATATTAATCTAAAGTTATCGTCATCGTCATCGTCGGTCTATATGAGCTGGAGATACTCTGCCACGAATATCTAGTGGCAGGTTAATCAAGATAGTTTTATAAACGAACACATATTAGGCCATAAAATCAATTAATCATATGCCGGTTTGTCCGAACAAAGAAAAATGTATGACTCAATGAGATTAAAGCAAAGCAATTTGACATCATCTAGACAAATTATAGGTAAGCGTTTAGAAAGCGCAGACGAAAGTGCCCATTATTAATCATTAATCACCACCATTTCAAGTTAGTCAACGATGGATCGACAATACATCAGCGTCAATAGACTCAACACATAAGTGGGAAAAAGCACGTCAATAAGGTGAGAATGCCTCATGCAGACCTTGAACTCTATAAATACTCTCAAATTTTACAGAGCTAAGGTACGTGAAATCTAAGACGCTTAGCCAAAATTCTGTCAACCTTTCTCCCCCTAGGTTGCACAAAAAAGAAATGGAACAAATAGGATACTCATAAACATTATTTCTGAAAAATAGGACACGAAATGTCACGAAAACGTATATTAAAACTATTAATTTATTTTCAAAAATTAATATTTAAATTCAAGAAGCCATTCAATATTAAGTAATAAAACTAACTAAATGAATTTAATATAACTAGACTTTTAATATATAATTATTTCCATCTTAAATAAAAGGAATATCCGCGTCTCAACTTGAGAGGAAGATAAGTGGGACCTGATGAGCAGAAATTGTTACCAGCCATACAATCTAAAAATAAAAATTCAAGAAATGATACAAACCTGAGTCACAAATTGGGGGAGAAAAGATTTTGTAAGAGAGAAAACTAAAAGGTAGCCAAGAAAAATAACCATGACTGCAACTTCATCAGCATCACATCTTCTCTTTTCAAGTTCCCAATCCATTATTTCTCGTTTCTCCCCCTTCCAACTATGCAGGTTGGACGCCAAGACTCTCAACGGTGGCGTCAGAAGGAGTACAAAGGTGGCAGGTGGTGGAGCCGGAGTCCGGTGCATGGCGGTGACGACGGATGCAGTGACAAAGAGGAAGAGTGGGTATGAAATTGAGACATTGACTAACTGGCTGTTGAAGCAAGAACAGGCTGGTATTATTGATGCTGAACTCACTATAGTACTTTCGAGTATTTCAATGGCGTGTAAGCAGATTGCTTCTCTAGTTCAAAGGGCAAGCATTTCTAACCTCACTGGAGTTCAGGGTGCTGTTAATGTCCAAGGAGAGGATCAGAAAAAACTCGATGTCATCTCCAACGAGGTAATGTCTACCCCTGTAAATACAATAGTTTAAGTGGAGTTGTTGAGCCGACTCTATCCATTTCTGAAGCACGTAGACGTGCAGAGCTTGAAATTTCGGGGGATTGTTTAATACTAAATTAAATAAATAAACGTGCGTTATCTCTAGCAGATTCAGCTTTTAAACAGATTGGTTTAGTAGTATGTTATAAGCACGATGTAAATATCAGGTGTTCTCTAATTGCTTGAGGTCAAGTGGAAGGACAGGAATTATTGATGTTGGAGGCATTTTTCAACAACGTCGGTGGAGTTTATACCACTGATTTCCCAAGTACTCCACCAGTGAGATTTGATTACACAAACCCTAATAACAGCCTCAATCGGGCAATCATAATGACTACGAAGTCGACAAAAGTAAAGGAAGTTAAGTACAATGCAACGGTAGAGATTGTGATGCAGAATACAGCTTTAATTGGGATCGAAAATCATCCTATACACTTGCATGGATTCAACTTCTATGTTTTGGCTCAAGGATTTGGCAACTTCAATAGGACTAGGGACAGCAAAAAATTCAATTTTGTTAACCCACAAGAGCGTAATACCATTGGAGTACCAGTTGGAGGATGGGCTGTGGTCAGATTTCGAGCAAATAATCCAGGTAAGTTAGACCGTCGTCAATCTCAAGCATAAGAATGCGTCCACCTTTGAGAAAAAGGACGAACTTTTCTAATTTCATATAGCATGTTTTATATCACTTTGCCTATATGTGAAGTTTGCATGTATTAATATATTCTACATTTGAAAATGTGGTTATTTTAGGTGTATGGTTGATGCATTGTCATTTGGATGTACACTTGCCTTGGGGTCTTGCGACTGCTTTGGTTGTCGAGAATGGACCGACCCCGTCAACAAGATTGCCACCACCTCCTCCAGATCTTCCTAAATGTTAATATTCTTCAGAAATATTATTTATTATTGTACTGTTATTGTTTATTTGATTGTTTTTATTTATTTGTAACCTTGATTTCATTTTACATTTTTGTAAGTTTGATATGGTATCGTGAGAAGTAATAGTATACAAATGCCAACATTTGTTTGATTAAATCGATGTTAATTTTCTAAATCTATTCAAATAAAACTAAAAATTAATTAAAATCCGTGAATGAATAAAATTTACATGATTTATAAACTCAATATTTAAATAATTAAAAAATTTCAATCTAAATATTGGTTGTCCGCGAACCCAATCCAAAGCAATGCAAGAAACCGTTCTTCGATAATTTCATTATAATACTTGTAAAAATTATGAGAATTAAATTAATTAATTAGAAAGGCGAAGAAGCTGGTGCATCGGCGACAGAACCAATAGGTTCTTCGGCCACCGGACCAGGGGCGACACCACCGCTGCTCAAAAGCTCCAACATGGCACGGTGAGGCTCGGTCTTTTGTTTCTCGCACAGACGAGGTAGATATACTCCTTCTCCGGCAGCTAGGTTGAAATAAAGGTCAACAATATTAGGGCAATTTTGATAACATGCCGGCGAGCACAGGCTTTTGGTGAATTGCGGTACAAGTAATGCATCTGAAGATATTCCGACGAAGCTCCGATCAGCGCCACATGCTTTTACACATTGATCGGTCTCTATATATCCAGCCATTCTCTCAACAACCACCTCCGACGTCTTGCATGCATATTCCAGCTTTCCGAAGTCGTCTCTGTAATTCTCCAACACACATCTTTTACCCGATGATGCGATTGCAAAGGAACAAAAATTCGTCGGCAAATTGTCGCAAATCACCTCAGCTGATTCAGAGAAAGATATATATTAAAAATCACACATATATATACAGAGAGAGAGAGAGAGAGAGAGAGAGATTGGGATGTACCGAATGCTCCTTGGAGGAAGAGGGAGAGCGCAAAGAAGAGGATGAATGGCGATTTGATTGAAGAAACAGCCATGGCTTGAATTTGATGCATTGTTTTCTGATTTGGAGAAGAGTGTGAAGAATAAATGGGTTTGCGAGAAAAATTCAATGGATGAGTTGTGTATATGTAAAGTGGTGAATTCCATAAAAAGGTATAAGTTCCGACAAAGGCGGTTATCTAAGGAGACATCGTTGGCCGGGTTTTCACTGGTTTCTTGTTAATGGACGTGATTGCATGTTTTAGATGTCTGCATTTGAAGTTTCCAATCGTTTAATAACAAACACACATTTTGGAAAATCCATCGAAATTATATTAATACAAAAACGCTTGAGAGAAAATTTTAAAGTTAGACAAAACTCCCAAATTGAATCGGATCAAATCGGACCCGAATTAAATTAAATATAATCGAGCAATTATTCTTAAATTAAATACTAGAACAGGTAATCAAAATCTAGAACCAACTGATTTGATTCATTTCTCGGTTCTAAATCAAGAACCGAATAAGAATTGAATCTCTTTAATTTTTCTTTTTCAATTCTTATATTCAACAAGCCAAAATTTTTTTTAAAAAAAATTCTGTTTTACTTGCCAACTAACTAATTGAGCTCAAAGATATCATTATCCTGTTTCATTTATCAACTAACTAATTGAGCCTAAAATATTATTTTCCTATATTCAGCCCTAACTCAACTTTGTAATTCAAATTTCAAATAATCAAAATTGAGTGGCTATGCCTCTCTTCATCTTACCCTTTTTTGCCTTATTTATTAATTTTCTCCACTTTAATCAAGATAATTTGCATATATTGGTGAATAGATATTATTAGAAAACTTATTATTTGTATATTTTAAAATTAAACTATGTTCAAGTATGAAGATAGTGTTGTTATAAAAGCTAATATTGAATATGACGTTAATTGGATTAATCAAGTATTGTTGTAAATGTTAAAATTTCTAATTATGGTATGGAATCTAACCGAATGAATTCGAACCGAAAGATTTTATAATTAAATTTAAACTTGACGGTTCCACTTACTAAATACCTGAAACTCTGATTCGGTTATGAATCGAATTGAACTATGTCCAGTCCTAAGAGAAATAATAATGATATTAATCTAAAGTTATCATCATCATCGGTCTATATGAGCTGGAGATACTCTCCCACAAATATCTAGTGGCAAATTAATCGAGATAGTTTTCTAAAGGAACACATGTTAGGACCTTGAACTCTATAAATACTCTTACAATTTACAGAGCTAAGGTATGTGAAATCTAAAATGCTTAGCCAATTTTCTGTCAAACCTATCTCTCCCTAGGTTGCACAAAAACGAAATGGAACAAATAGGATAGTCATAAACATTATTTCTGAAAAATAGGACATGAAATGTCACGAAAACGTATATAAAAACTATTAATTTATTTTCAAAAATTAATATTTAAATTCAAGAAACCATGCAATATTAAGTAATAAAGCTAACCAAATGAATATAATCTAACTAGACTTTTAATATATAATTATTTCCATCTTATATAAAAGGAATATCCGCGTCTCAACTTGAGAGGAAGATAAGTGGGACCAGATGAGCAGAAATTGTTACCAGCCTTACAATCTAAAAATAAAATTCTAGAAATGATACAAACCTGAGTCACAAATTGGGAGAGAAGATTTTTAAGAGAGAACTAAAAAGTATCCAAGAAAAATCACCATGGCTGCAACTTCATCAGCATCACATCTTCTCTTTTCAAGTTCCATTATCTCTCGTCTCTCCCCCTTCCAACTATGCAGGTTGGACGCCAAGACTCTCACCGGTGGCGTCAGACGGAGTACAAAGGTGGCAGGTGGTGGAGCCGGAGTCCGGTGCATGGCGGTGACGACGGATGCAGTGACAAAGAGGAAGAGTGGGTATGAAATTGAGACATTGACTAACTGGCTGTTGAAGCAAGAACAGGCTGGTATTATTGATGCTGAGCTCACTATAGTACTTTCGAGTATTTCAATGGCGTGTAAGCAGATTGCTTCTCTAGTTCAAAGGGCTAGCATTTCTAACCTCACGGGAGTTCAGGGCGCTGTTAATGTCCAAGGAGAGGATCAGAAAAAACTCGATGTCATCTCCAATGAGGTAATGTCTACCCCTGTAAATACAGTAGTTTAACATGGTATCAGAGCTGGTGCAGTTGTTGAGCCGACTCTATCCATTTATGAAGCACGTAGACAAGCAGAGCTTGAAATTTCTGGGGATTGTTTAATACTAGATTAAATAAATAAATGTGCGTTATTCTAACAGATTAAGCTTTTAAACAGACTGGTTTAGTAGTATGTTATAAGCACGATGTAAATATCAGGTGTTCTCTAATTGCTTGAGGTCAAGTGGAAGGACAGGAATTATTGCATCTGAGGAAGAAGATGTACCAGTGGCTGTGGAAGAGAGTTACTCTGGCAACTACATTGTTGTTTTCGACCCTCTTGATGGATCATCCAACATTGATGCTGCTGTGTCCACTGGCTCGATTTTTGGAATTTACACTCCCAATGATGAGTGCCTAGCAGATATTGGAGATGATGCCACGGTATACTGCATTCTATGTTTATTTAACTAATGAAAATTTGTAGCATAAGTCAAGACTGAAATAAAATCTACCGAAAATAAGAATTTTGTACAATCTGATCTGTTGCAGCTTGACAATGTGGTACAGAGGTGTGTAGTGAATGTGTGTCAACCTGGAAATAATCTTCTCGCAGCAGGCTATTGCATGTACTCGAGCTCTGTGATTTTTGTGATCACCTTAGGAAAAGGTGTATATGTGTTCACATTGGACCCCATGTTTGGGGAATTTGTGCTTACTCAAGAAAACATTCAGATACCGAAGGCCGGAAAGATTTATGCTTTTAATGAAGGGAACTACCAGTTGTGGGATGATAAATTGAAGAAGTACATTGATGATCTTAAGGATCCTGGTCCAAGTGGCAAACCTTATTCTGCTCGATATATTGGTAGTTTGGTTGGTGATTTTCATAGGACTTTGTTATATGGTGGGATTTACGGGTATCCCAGAGACAAGAAGAGCGAAAATGGGAAGCTTAGACTCCTGTATGAATGTGCACCAATGAGCTTCATTGTTGAACAAGCTGGTGGCAAAGGATCAGATGGGCAAAACAGAGTCCTTGACATTCAACCAACCGAGGTGTGTCAAATGATACAAGGAAATTTCATCTCCGTTGCAAATTGTTTACATTATAGTCCTCAGGTTTTATCTTCCAATTTTGATCTTTTGTTGTATTTTCGTGCAGATACATCAGCGAGTGCCCTTGTACATTGGAAGTACTGAAGAGGTGGAGAAATTGGAGAAATATTTGGCTTAATTACAATGTAAAAGGTTTAATATTGCTGATATAGTTTTCCCCCCCGTCTTTCAAGAAGAAAAAACAGCGGGAATTCTTTCTTATATTCCTACTTGATTCTTATGACTGCAATGTTCTTCATTATTTATTTCTGAACAGGCAACTTCACATGATTGGACACTACAAGGAAATGGTCATGATCCAGCTAATCTTTTGTAAAATTGAGATTGAACTGACATAAATTGTTGAGAGATGCTAGGGGGACAGGGGATTGGGACAGGGTTTGGCAACAGGGGGCACGTGGCGCCCCCCTATTGGAGGGGTAGCTGACGCGGTCAGCTACCCCTCCAATAGGGGGGCGCCACATGCCCCCTGTCCCAATTCCCTGTCCCAATCCCCTGTCCAAGAAGCTTAACACTAAATTGTTTTAGACATCATCATTGTCTAGCCTTTTCAGATAAGTCGTCCACCTATCATTAAACTTTACAGTTATTGTAACTCAGTTTTGAAGTTGTGAATGTTCCAAAACTCGACTAATATAAGTCAATCTTCCGGTTAACAACTCTCATAGGCCTAAAATTGCAACTATATGACATCCTTACTTAAAACCATGGATCATCATGGACCAAATGCAATAGCAATAATTTCATCACTAAAAGAGTGATTATAGTAAACTTACAATAGCCATAATAACATTGTAGTTTTAGAGCTTGTTTGGTATGAATTTTGTTAATTGATTTTTTGATCGTTAGAGATAAAGTGAGTTCTAATTGTGAGAAAAAAATTCAAAGAGCAATTGAAATAGTGAAATAACAATAAAAAAATTGATTTTAATTAGCTTTTAATCGGTACCAAACAAGCACTTAATGTTTTGATTTTAGCTACTGACATGCAACCAATATTCTTATATTCAACAAGGATGGTTGCCACCAGAACTGAACAAAGTTAAATGACTTGTCATCCTAACAAATTACTATGACTTCACATAGTGCTGACGCATAAGGACAACCTAAAACTGAATATCAGAGTAAATATTGTTGGGAGTCCTAAACTGGTACCATATCAGTATAAAAAATCGCCTGTAGTGTTATCCAGTAAATTTTAGGCCGAAAAATTCTCCGGATCCAAAGAACTCTGTTTTTTAGCTGCAACAGAGCAAATAGTCTAAACCTTAATATGTACCATAAACATAAAAGGAAACTGAAAAAAAGATCTTGGATTAAAAATTACCAGGACTTGAGATCTTGATACATTTAGTGACAGATTTCAGAGTGGTAACAGAATCTGGACCTTCTGGTGTACAAGATTGCGAAAACAAATTTAGTGTTTTATAATCAACAAGTAAGACTGCATCAATTCGCATAACTCATGAGTAATTACCTGATAAATTTGCTTCCTCTGGAAGAATTCCCTTCGTGGTTGACAAAAAGTGTGACATAACTTGGTATTCTGATGTATGAGGCGATCTGCCATCAGTAAGTAGAGATTTAGGTAATGAGGAAAATTAGATAAAATGGTTATCATAGAGAAAGCAAGAATAGTTTACCCAGAAGAGGAATCTGGAGTATAATTGGTTGCTTGCTGTGAAGAAAAATCAAGTCCTTCGCCACCAAGATCAAAGTCAACCAGAAGTTCAGAAAGATTAAAGTCCAACCCCAAAGCATCCAAATTCGGAAAATCCAAGTCAAGGATATTTCCTTCCCTGTCAGATTCAGATGTTGATGTACCATCAGGTGTTTGGTTCTCTGCAATTATGGGCATATCGGAAGAACCAAAATCTAGCCTTCCTTTAGCAGCATGGTCCTTGTTAGACCTTGTCGAGTTTGCCTTTACTGGTGAGTAAGTTGAAATGCAGTGATTTTTCTCTATTCTATAGTAGGCTATTTGTTTGGCAGGGCTTACTAGAATTGTCTCCGAAGAGATTATGGTGCAGTCAGTTTGTTGAGGAGTAATGTGTTCACAGGGAGTAGCAGTAACCAAAGGAGAAATTGATTTGTCAGTTTCAGTGGAAAATGCCCGTGTAGGTGTTTTAGGAACAGAGCAATTAGCTGGAGGGGATGGAATATTCTGATTGAACAAACACTTGACAACATTAGATCCATGAACTAGCGAACCACCAGGTGAATTGTCATCAGCAGACAACTCAACTGTAGAACCTTTCGAGGAACTTTCCTGTTTTGCTTCCGCATTGCTTAGTTGGGGAGGTATGTTTGGATCTACAAATAAAATAGACAGCTAATGAGCACCAAGACAATTGCAAGTAAAATAACATATGAAGGAGACCAACTTCTGCAAAGAATTTACCTTTGGTTTGTATTCGCCTGCTACATCTCTTAGCAGTCACTAAAGCATCTGAAACGTCTTTGCATTTTTTCCTTTTACCACTGGGCTGATTTGTAATCGGGGTAGAGAAAGTTTTTGGATCTGTTTGAGAGTTGGAGGGCCCAGATGTAGACATCGTAACTGAAGTATTGTACATAGGATAACAACCTGATGATAACAATGGATACTAGGTAAGAAAGGGCAACCGATTACTATAACTTCCTTGGCCTTTATAAGCGAGCAATGAATTCATGCCAATTTAGTATACATAGTAGAAATACAAATGAAGAAACATTTATGAGTTTCTTGATAGATCTTGTTTAAGAACATCAAGTTTACATAGCATTGCTGATAGTGTCTCTTAATGAAGGATAAAAATTGAAACCAAGTATCTCAATATTTAATCCCAAATCCACGAAGCAAGACTTTAAGTTTCACCATGCTTTGATTCAGCTGCCTAGAATAGAAATTTGAATTCTTAAATGTAGAAAATGGCTTAAGCAATGAACTCAATGCACTGCCAATGAAAATTGATGTCAAGATCCCATTGCAGTTTAAGCCATTGTGCACGAAGAAAGTGTTACAGGGTTTCAACAATATTTTCAAGTTAATTGTTCTCGACAAGAGATAAGCAACACTCAGCAACTACGTGGATTGTGGTAGCTACAATTTATATGTCACTAACTCATAAAATTAATTCGAGTAGAAATTGAAAACCCCCAATGAAAACTAAAACTCTCTATTGACTAAGGCATATTGGAGCGGAAACACCAAAATTAAGAAAATTTCATCTAGAGGTTCCAGATCTCAAGCAAAAGATTCTGTCTCGACGAACAAATCAAACCATAACTGATCAAAACTGAGTACAAAGAGGTGTTAAAATTTACCTGCTGGCGTCATAAGTGCAGGGTCAGATGGAGGTACTATAGCCCTCGATTGTACCATTTTCTGAGATGCCATAGCTGTCGGCAGCGGCAGGGGCAGCGGAGGAGTAACAACATTATTTCCGCTAGCATTATAAGCATTCATGACATCCTGCATGCCTGTTAGCAATTTCTGAAGCTTCAACTTCTCCTGCTCCAAACGGCACCGTTCTTGATCCAATAACACTTTCTGCTCCTTCAACGTTATATATTCATCCAGTATTGCACCCAAACTCAGCAAACTCTTCGGCGCCTGAAGCACAAAAACGAAACCCCGTAATAAATCTTCGGCTCAAAACACAATAAATCCCTGGAAAACGAAAATATTATTAAAAGATTTACTTCTTGAACTGGAGATTTGGCAATCAAATGGGATGCTTCAGACCGAAAAGTGGAGCGAGTATTTATGTAATTGTTGTCGGAAAGATAACGATCCACGATGAATGCAACCTGAACCGGAGTTACCTTGCCTTTACCTACCAATTCTGGTTTTCTTGATTTGTTCTGCTTCCCCATTTTTCCTTGTCTATCTACAATGTGGAGAAAAGAGTATAAGAGAGACAAACATACATAGATTTCGATTCAGAGGGAGAGGGAAACACAATGGAGGGAGCATTTGAAAATTTTGGAGGAAAAACTTCTGTTTTCAAGGGGGTTTTTCCCTCGCAGTTGTGTATTGATTTTCGTCAGAAAAAAATATTTATAATTTACAAAAATTATGGAACCCCATTTTCAGATGACGTTTGGCCCCCATTTTTTAAAAAATGAAAATGGGTGGAATGATATTTTTTTAAAAAAAATGAATGATTAAAAAAAAAAAATGTTTTTAATTTATGTATAATATTATTTTACGAAAGATTGTGTGGATGGAATGTAATATAATGAAAATTAATGAGGGTCAAACGAGGGCAAAAATATATTTTAAAATAATAAATTGATGAAAATTATGTGGTTAAAAAATAAGATTTTTTTTTAATTTGTGTGTAATATTATTATATTAAAAAATTTATAGTTTAAAAAAAAAAGGAAAATGTAATTTAAAAATCATGAAAATCACCTACTTCCAACTACACAATCTAATTTTTTAGCCCCCATTTGGTCCCCTTTAAAACTCTTTAATTTAATTTAATTTAATTTTTTCTCTCTCTTACTTCCAACTACACAATTTTCAATAAAATAATATTACACTCAAATCGAAAATTTTTTAACCTCACAATCTTCAAAAAAATACTATTTTTCACATTATAAGTCCAAATAATTGGTGTCAAACGGGGCTTAATTTTGTATGACTTTTATTTTGTTGCTTTTCATTTGCAGCATCAATTATACAAATTTAATGGAAATCTTGATATTAGTCCCTAACCTATTGATACAAGAGCCTGTTTGAGCTCCCTTCTTTTCTTTCTTTCTTTCTTTTATTTTTTTTTTTAAATGCATTTTAGAATAGTAGATTAATGAAAAATGTTTACTTAAAAATAAGAAAAAAATTTGGATTTACGTGTAATATTATTATTTTTAAGAATATGTAGTTAAAAATAAGTGAAAATATATATTTTAAAAATAATGTGATCAAACAATGACTTTGGCCCCATTAAATTACATTTCATTTTTCTTTCTCCTATTTTCAATCACAATCTTCCATAAAAATATATTACACATAAATAAAAAAATCTTTCATTCTTTTTCAACCACTAATTTTTGTTAAAAAAAAATACAATTCCACTCATTTTCATTTCAAAAAACAAGGGCCAAACGAGGCCTAATTATAAGGTTAAATGGTTTGACAATTTATGAGGGGATGAGTCACGAGAATTTTGAATCAAATTTCTGAATTTTCTTTAATCTTGCATCATAGTAATATCCTGAAGTTTACAACAATAACTTGGTATATGTTATAAATACAGGACATGTTTGATTCCCATTTTTCTAAGAATAAGAATGAAAAATATAGTTGTTACGAAACCTACTCAAAATATAGAAAGTCAAATATGGTGACTTGATGTGATGAATAACGATCATATTTTTCATTTTTGTGACCTAATAATTTGAATCAAAGGGGCTATAGTAATATTTATGAACAACCTTTATATCACTGTAGTTCTAGTAATTATGACTTTTGTATTCATTATAACCCTAATTATTTTTTATAAATATAAGAATTTGGTTCTTAATAAAACATTCAAATTTTCCTATAAATATAAGAATTTGGTTCTTAATAAAACATTCAAATTTATTGCCTTCTCCCTTTTGTTTTATCTTTTCCCTTTAGTTTATAAAATGTTATCAGTATGATTTTCTCAAAATCAAAGTAAATTAGTTAGAATATAATAATTTTTATAAGTATAATCATCTATCACGTGTACTAAAATTAATTTGGTGACGTGTGAATTCTTTTAATGTACGTATACATCATAACAAGGTTACTTCTTCTCTGCTTTTTGTTTTTATGCATATGATTTTCTAATTCACGTTTGTATATGTAATCTATACATGGTTTATTAAAGCAAAGTCATGTTACACTATTAATTCACGCTTTTCAATTCATATACAATCAATTTTGCCACATATTATTCATGTATTAATTCTGTCATTTGATGTTGTCTTGTATTAGTTTTGCTTTTAATTCTACCTCGAATTTTTGTATATGTGAATTGACGTGGGTATCTTTTGCTTATTGATCAGAGGCGGATTTGGGGGAGGTTCATACCTACAATTAATTGCTAAATAAGCCCCCCGTTTGAGCCCCATTATTCCTAGATTATAATGAGATAAATAGTATTTTTTTGAAAAATGAGTGGTTGAAAAATTTTTGATTTACGTGTAATATTATTTTATTGAAGATTGTGTGGTTAAAAGTAGGAGAGAGAAAAATTTAATGTAATGTAATGAGGAATAATGGGGCTCAAACGGGGGCTTAGTATAATCCATTATTTTATAAATCATTTAAGATTTTGTTCAAATTATGCTTAAATCTGTTAGTTTTTGCTTCACTCCTTTCCTTAATATGCTCCAGATATAGTTAACTTACCAGTGATTATACCCAACAACCCAATTTCCCCAGTCCAATCTAGGAATGACAATGGTTCGGTTTTCGTTCGGTTCGGTCAAAATCATCACCGAACTATCAAATTTTTTGCCATACCATAACCACGTAAATCGATTCCGTTCATATCTCGGTTCAGCTCTGATCGGTTAATAACTACGAAAATAAATTATTTTTTATAAGTCCATCCGTCAAATTGATATAAAATAATTTATGAAAAAAGAGTCAATGAAAACAAAAACACAATATTCCAAACGAAAATTCAAACATTATCCCAAATTCCAATTACAAAATACAAATTTAACAAACAATACTAAAATTTTCCTTCATTCTTCATTCTTGTGCATTGTAGTTACTTAATTCATACTCAATAATTCAAAAGTTTCAACCTTAACTCATATTCAATCTTCATTTTTCCCCACAACTCTTACTAGGATAGGTCAACACTCAAAATTGATTCCTATAAAGTAAATAAGAAATGTAAGTAGAGAATACAGCGATACTACCTAATCCAGAATGGTTTTAACTAATATTTAAATAAAAAAATGTACCTCTTCGTCAACCTTGCCATCCCTAATAAAAGAATGATTTTTTTAAGCGGGTAATTGGTTCAGTTTCGGTTCGATGGCATAAATATCATACTTGCACCGTCACAAACCGATTCATTAAAATCAAATACTATATCCGGCCCACTGCATCACCGGTTCGATTTTTTTCGCTCCATTCGATTCGATTAACCGCGATTCTCAATTTTAACGGTTCAAATTGCCATCCCTAGCCCAATCCAACCATTAAAACCTTTTTTCTTTTTCTTTTTTAGCCCAATCTCAAAAACCCATTTATTTCATTGATATTTTGGAGAACAACTTTTATGCTTTAAAGAAAGGAAAAGACATATCAATGAGATTAAATGCAATAGCTTGTTTTCATTGTTCTCTTAATTTTTAATAATTGTACATTAATAATCCTATTACTTTCGAATTCATTCTATGATCTAACATGCAACTCAAAAAACATATATAAGTAAAAACCTAATTTGAAGAAGATTACTTCCAATCAATTTCTCAATCGTAGGAGCTAAATTATATAGGCATTAAATTATATTTGATAATTCAAATATCTTTATCTTTCTTAGTGATCACGACAGTGGGGTCTCTTAGTTTAATAGAAATAATTTATATCATTCTTAATATAATATTGGATTCATAGAAATATCTTCTCTAAACTGGCTCGTGAATGCACCCCTTTTATAATTTTGATAGCTAAGTGATTATCCTTTTCCAACACCTTTGAATTTTATTTCTTTTCTTTATAATGTTGTTTTTCAGAATTCTTCTCACTACTTCATGCATTTGTCTTTGAATTATAGGGATATTTATTATTATTATTTTTTTCATGCATGTTTCAAAATGGAAGAATGTAAAACATGCGACGACGGTGATTCGTAACAAAATAGATGATGCTTTTCTTGGTGATTTTATAACATTCTAATTTCTATATGAACGAGAATTTATTATGACATAAATGTAGATTATACTATAGATGAATTTTATGTAATAAATTTGCGATGAACAACTTTAATAGGTAATGTAATGTTATGAACTTTTTGTTATATATAAAATTTTGTTCGTGCATTAATTTTTTTTAAATTTTCTGCTTCTCGCAACATAAATTCTTGACTCCGCCCCTGATATTGATAAAAGATTTAATCAATTTTTTATATTTTGTTTTCAACTTAGCCCGAAAAATGTCAATTGTGCCTCGACCTTGCATCATAAATGTGAAGCAAATGTCACAATCAAAATTTGCCACCAAAGTGTAAATGCAATTAAACTTTCAGAAAAGAAATCAAGCATTTGCACTTCATGGAAAAATAAAGAAAAAATTTATGGAGCAGAAAATTTCCACCAGCTAAAAATATAAAAATTAATCCAGCAGTTGAAACTTGAAAGTGAAAGCCCTTTTGCATTAATTAATTGCTTTCGGTGAAAAGAGTTTGCCAATTTGTGCACCACAATATTCTACTATGGACCACGCCTCTGTATATCTCGTCCCAAAAATAGCAACTGATTATGTAATTATAATTAAAAATTTTAGACTATCTATTGACTTATTTTCTAAGTTCGAGGAGTATGTAACCCGCTTCCAACATTACAATGTAATTGACACGACTCTAGAATTACACTCGATTGAACTTTCATGAAGTACGTGTATAGATGGGTTGTCGTTGCAGAAAACAAGAAGAATGTAACCCCAACTATTGAAAAATGACATATTTATATATTTTCTTCAAGTTGACTGTGAATCACTTATCATATTAATTTTTTCAAGAAAACATCAAACTTTTCATTTTTGAAAAAAATAAACGAGAACAAACTTTATCCCATCGTGTCACGTCGATTACACTATAAAATTGTTTAATTTTTTTATAGTCTCAATTTTATCAAATTTTATACCTAATGTCTAAAATGCCCTTGCAGGTTGCGCTTGCAAGAAGTTCCTTACCTCTGCAAAAGACAATTTGGGCCCCCCAGGGCACTTCTCCACTAGCAAAGGACGGACGCTGTCAAATCTGGTAGAGCAGAGGTCGTGAGTTCGAAACATGGGGCTCTTGGAAGGCAAGGGAACATTTGGAAGGTAAGGATTTATTCTTGGAAGGCAAGTGGGAACTTGGAAGGCAAGGATTATTCTTGGAAGGCAAGGTGCAACTTGGATTGGCTTGCTTGGCACTTTGTCAGACCAGGTGGGGAGCGCTCGGACCCTGGCCAGTTGGAGGCACATCCTGCGATTAACCGGACTGTGTGAAGAGGGGCCGGATCACAGACCCAAGGATTAGTCAAGAATTGGACCCCTTGTAAAAAAAAAAAAATAAATAAATAAAAAGACAATTTGGACAGTTACCAAAGTTTGTTAAATAAATGAGTTGTCTTCTTCCTAACAAAAGGTCCACGGGACCAATGCACAACCTGTCATCTTCGAGTCTAAAGAATATATATACAGAAATGATTTCTTATAAAGATGTCAATTTATACTCAATTTTATACCATTGTCGAAGATGCTCTAATGAGTTTTTTAATTTAAATAATTTTTACAATACCAAGACCCGGAAAATGGTACGATTGAACCTTGGCACGGGACGAAGAGGTGTCAAGGATGATCGCAATTGTGGTCGAGTTGCTTTCAATGGACCATATCATACAATTTTTTTTTTTTTTTTTTTTTTTTTTTTTTTTTTTTTTTTTTGTGTATTCGTGATACCGTCATACTTGTTTCTATACATTCGTCCATGAACAGAACAATCCTTCATTTGTTTGGAGGTATGGTTATCAAAGTTGAAAATAAGTAAATTATTAGTACTCGTTTTTAAGTTTAGTTGATGGTTTAGGCGAAATGATTAAACAATACAGTGTATTAATGCGTGATAAACTCAATTAAATGTGAATTTAATGACTTACTTAATTGCGAATCTCATTTAATACAATTTAAACTGATGTTTTATGTAGCATTTTACTAAAACTAAAAATTGAGAAAACGGACCGTTGCACAAATCTAGAAGACAAAAGGGCATGCGGAGTTTCCTTTTTAAACAGCAAAAAATGTAGAGGATAGAACATGCGTGTTCATTGTCGGGTGAGCACCAAGAAATGTCTGTGTATTATAATCTACACTGCATGCCTCCAATTCCAAAGAATCTTCTTCTTCTTCTTCTTTTTTTCCCCTGCCAAACACAACTTTTAATTACTTAATTAACTAAATAATCTTAGTAGTTAAAGTGATATTAAAGGTGCTAATAGGAGTGGCAATGTATTGAGTCTCCCTTTGTCTCGTGGGCTTCGCTTGACTCTTTCTATGAACGATTTAGGCTTGTATTAAAACGATACTTGAGATGAGACGAACTCCATTTTTTTTTAACAAGTTGCCTCGGCCCATAAGGCCCACGAGCCAAAAGATCAATTCGGCTTTACTTAGTACATTGCCACCTTGTACTAATTATATAATGAACTGTCTATATTTGAAAAGCTAGTCACGAGGAGGAAAAAAAAATCTAAACGTTACCCTATCATTGAATTATAAATAAATTTCGGGTGTAAGGAAAAAAGAGAAGAAGAAGGTTACTCTATCATTGAATTACATAAATTTTGCATACTTGCCGTGTTAAAACATGTTTACCGAGGTGGAAGTGGCTCTTATATAGTATCATTGGTTTCAAGTTTCAATCTATTCCAAAATGAAATATGTGATTAAAATTAATTATTAATATTAATTTCATATTAAAATTTGATTTTGATCTATACCAAAAAGAGCCAGCGTGTTTAACTCCCTCTATGACAAAATAATTTATTTTTTATATTTATTTTTAACTATAATTCTCACAATATAATATTTTGCACGTAATTCAAAATCTATTCTTACGTTTTAACCACACGATTTTTAAAAAAAATCATTATTTAAAACATTATTCTTACACAATAATGACCATCAAACTCGAATTTATTATTTCTTGATTTCACGGTTACTACTCGACATTTACAACTGTCAAAACAATTTATAAGACAGTCAGAGTTCAAAGTGTGCAAAGTATAGGTCCTTCACTGCAAATAGAAAAATGACAGGGACATAATCCTGAAGAATCTCATATTTATTTCCCAAGTCAGCAGCCACTCAGAAAGAGAGTGCAAGTCCAAGATGAGTGTTGCAGAACAAAAGTAAAACATATTTCACAGCCTTCCAGCAAAATCCCTCGCCCCAACATTTTTTGTTCTAAAGATTAATATTAGTACTACTTCTCTGTGTTCTTATTCAAAGAACGCCTTGTAAATCCGGAATAAAAGACAAAAAAAAAAAGCAGAGTCTCAGCATCTTGTTCAAAACCCAGATCAAGAATGGCTTCAAATTTGGTTTTCAGGTACTTCATGGCTTTCTTCTTAGTGAATCTTTACTTGAAAGTTGTAGCTGCAGACCTAAACTTGTCATTTTCTTTCAAGAACATTGGTAAAGACTCGGAAGAATTTGAATCACAGATTGCTATGTATGGTGATGCTAGGGTGGCCAATGATAGTATTCAAATTTCTGGTTCAGGGGTTTCTAGTTCTGGGAGGGTCATTTACAAGAAACCTGTTAAGTTGGTTGAAGGAAACCCAATAAATATGTTGTCTTTTTCTATGAATTTTGTGTTTTCCACGTCTAGTGAAAATGGGGATGGGTTGGCCTTTATTATAGTTCCTGCTAGTTTTCCTGTGGATGTTTTTGATGGTGGCTCAATGGGGCTTTTGGGGGAGAGAAAAATGAGGTTTCTTGCTGTTGAATTTGATACTTTTAAAGATGAAAAGTGGGGTGATGTCAACGGTAATCATGTTGGCATTGATATTGATAGTCTCGTGTCTGTTAAAGTGAGCAATGTTTCATCAATCAATTTGGTGCTGAATAATGCTGAAAAATTAGAGGCATGGATCGACTATGAAGCAAATTCTAAACGAATTGAGTTGAGGTTAAGTAAGTTAGGTGTCGTAAGGCCAGTTGAGCCATTTCTTTCTTATCCTATTGACTTGTCACAAATGTGGGGAAAGGAGGATGTTTTAGTGGGATTGAGTTCATCGAGTGGGAATTCATCACAAAAGTGTAACGTGCATTCGTGGAGTTTTAGGTCGAGAACTTTCCCGCATTGGATGCATTCAGAACCAGTGGACCCTGAGTCTTTTGTGGAGAAGGGATCAGAACTAAATGTTCGTAAGAGAAGTGGTTGTACCTTGAGAATCATTGCTGCGTTGATTTTTGGCACCGGATGTGGAGCATTGGGGGCATTAATTGTGTTGTTTGTTTGGACTATCTTTGCAAATAGGCGTCCTGTAGTGCCAGAGGATTATGCTGTGAAGCCAAAGGAATATGCTTTGCAGCCGAAGGTATTTGAGTACAAAAAGTTCAATGTTACTGTAGATAAGACAATGGCTGATTGTAAGTAGGTGATGGTCTTGCAGATTAGTTGGTGCGTCTTTTGTATGTAAATCCCGTTCATTTCCGTACTTGCGTGTTTTGCTTTAGTGTTCTGCTGTAATTTAATGATCAAGCATCCAAATGTAGTTATGCTATATAACCATGTTATGATCATCAAAATACAGCTTCAGATTTGGAACATGGAATGTTAACTATGAATATTTCCATTATTTACAAGATAATCCAACTTATTGGTCTAAGATTATGAATATGAATGTCATGTGACTCATTTCACTTTCTTCTTTCGTCATTTACTTGCTTTATGAAAACCTTATTCAGTTTATTCCACGAAAGTAGCCGCAGGCCACAGTCGAGGGATTTTGTTCGGTAGTCGTGTGCTCACTATCACTCGTGCAGTGCTCTCGGCCGCCTCTTTATCATGTTACCGTTGATAAGGCCCTGTTTGTTTCCTATTCTTTGGCCAAGAAAATGAAAAATATGACCGTTATTCATTATATCAAGTCATTATATTTGACTTCCTTTATCTTGTGTGGGTCCCATAACGGTTATATTTTTTATTCTCATTCTTATAAAAATGGGAATCAAACAGGGATTTCTTTACTACTATATTTAGAGAATGGTTGATTGGTTCTTGTATTGTTTCTTACATAAATTTTTTAAGTTTTTTTATTGCATTCTACATGTCAATGTGTTACAAATTTGTAATCGTATACATTGGAACTGGAAGATTTCTATCTGAGGGGTAAGTTGGCATGTTCTCTCTGTGAGAACTCAATGAAGTCACTCAAGGGAGGTAACGGTGTAAGCTGCATTTTTGAGTGTGAAACTACCTACTCTGTTGGTTTTTCAGATGTTGTGACCGCTGGTTTGGAGGACATGTAGGTTGTGGATGGAGCAAGGTCGCAAACTTTGAGCTATTGATGAGTCGATTGTGGCACAAAAGAGCATGTTGAACCGTTTCATATAAAGCTTAAGCTTTTAGGGATGAGACATTTATTTATCTAAATTTCAATCTTTTAACATTTCTCTTCACATATATTGTCTTTTTTTTTTTTTTTTTTTTTTCATCTGAAGGATGAAATATGTGTGCAATTTTCATAAATGAGTGGTACGAGACTTAAACTAGAGACGTTTGTTGGATTTGATACCATGTTGAATCATGTGGTCTGGAACGGAGTGGGGATAGAGAGAACTATATTGATATTCATTGTGCAGGAAAGTAAACAATGAGCTCAAGCAAACTGCAAAAGGAAAAGCATACCGATTCTTACATGCTTCAACTTATTATCTGCAAATCTTTGAAATTTTAACAAAATCACTGGTTGCCAAATAGGAGGCAGGTAATTTCGATGATTATATTTGGTATTGTCGTGAAAATCCCTTGAAAAATCTTGATTCTGAGCCCGAAAACAACCAAACGAATACCAATTTACTTCGACTCGACCCAAATCTCTAATCTTCACTTTGGTTGCTCCAAGAACTCTCAAACCCCACAAAGAGGAATGGATGGTGGTGGTAATAGGAAGAAGAAGAGGCAACAATGGTGGGAATCACTCCAACAAACCACCAAGCCGGCTGCCACCCTCC